TCCCCTTCCCTCCCCCTGGGACTCCCAGGGGTGTGTGTCTGGGCTCTGTGCACAGCTCATCTCCACTCCTCCTTCCTCAGAAAGCACAGGCGGAGGTGGAAGGGCTGGGCAAGGGGGTTGCCCGACTCTCGGAGGAGGCCGAGAAGGTCCTGGCCCTGCCTGAGCCCTCCCCGGCCGCCCCCATGCTGCGCTCGGAGCTGGAGCTGACCCTGGTCAAGCTGGAGCAGGTCCGCAGCCTCTCCGCCATTTACCTGGAGAAGTGAGTGCACCGGTCGGCGAGGCGCCCGAGGCCCTGACCTGGGAGGGCGCTGAGCAGAGGCGGCCCGACCACCTGTGTGGGCACAGGACAGGCTGACGGGTGGGGGGTCTGTGGAGGGGTGTGCCCAAGAGGTGGTGTGGCTCAGTGGATAGAGGGTCGGCCTGCGGACTGAAGGGTCCCAGGCTCGATTCTGGTCAAGGGCCTGTACCTTGGCTGCAGGCTCCCACCAGTGATGAGAGAGAATCATCGATCGGCTGCCTCCCGCACGCCCCACACCGGGGATCGAGCCCGCAACCCGGGCCTGTGCCCTGAACGGAATTGAACTGTGACCTGGTTCATAGGTCGACGCTCAGCCCCTGAGCCACGCCTGCCGGGCGTTACCCACTGTTTCTTCACTGAGGCTGACGGGTCCCTCTCCCCAGCCTGGGCGGGAAGGCTGAGAGCCCCCAGGCCACAGATGTGAGCTTGCCGTCGGGCCAGCATGGCCTCCGTGGCAGCGCGGGCATCCGTACCCCGGTCCCCGAGCACTCTCCCCCTGGTCCTACCGGGAGCCCGCCCCCACCCCCGGCTCTGAACCCGCTCTCCCCCAGGCTCAAGACCATCAGCCTGGTGATCCGCAGCACACAGGGGGCCGAGGAGGTGCTGCGGGGCCACGAGGAACAGCTCAAGGAGGCCCAGGCCGTGCCCTCCACCCTCCCGGAGCTCGAGGCCACCAAGGCTGCGCTCAAGGTACCACCATCAGAACAGGGCCTGGGAGGACCCGGG